GCATATTATTGCTAATTCTGCGCCTGATTCTGCAGCAGCTGTTGCTTTTGAACAATATGATGCTTCTCTTCCCTGAAGAGAAGTTGAAAATGCCTCTTTGCAACACTTTGCACCTTTGTAGACTCAGGGAGCATGAAAACAGACTTGGAGATGCACCTAGGATTCTGTTTGGGAATTCAGGGCACAACTTAGAGACTATTGAGTTTAGGCACTTTCTGACATTGACTTTCATAGCAACAGTTTGATTTAGAGAAAATCTGCTACCCCAAATGGCCAAAGGTATTTACACAGAAAATATTCCAAATGATTGACTTCACTCTGTTGCTGTTTTCTTTCTCCACAAATATGTGAGTATTTGGCTTTGTTATGAAGTTTTTCTGCATCACTTCTTTTCAGGCAATGAAATTTTTCTATCCAGAGAGGGAGAAGAAAGAGGCAGCAAGAATTTCTCCCCTTTAAAGTGAATAACTATTTTAGTTTACACCATAACTTCTGTAAAAATGAAAAATTTGAGTGTGTCTCCTGTTTTCTTAAATTTTCCTTTGGTGAATCTTTAAGGTAGTCAGTCATCTTGATCGCTTTGGAGCCAGAGTCAGCTTTGTGCTTCCTTCAGCACCACCTGGTTCCCTCCCCGCACCTCAACCCCTTTACATCAGTCTAACTGAAGGAGTTGTCTCCACTCCTCTCTTCCTTCCTTACCTCCCACTGCTTCTTCAGCCTGCTCTTGTCAAGATCATCAATGGCTTCCTGTTATTTAATGCATTGACTATTTTGGATTACAATCTATCTTTGCATAGCATTTGACATCACTGATCCCATTTTCATTAGCTTCTTTGGCAGCATTTCTCCTCATTCTCCTAGAATTTCCTCTTTTTCCAGTTCCTTTCTTAAATGTGTCCCTGGGAATCAATCCTAGGCCAACTTTTCTTCCTAATCTACACTGGCATACACTGGGATGTTGCAGGTTCGGTTCCAGATCACCACAATGAAGCGAGTCTTTCAATAAAGTGAGTTGTAATGTTTTTGTTGGTGGGTGCTCTTGACTTCAATTTGTAAAATATGTAACATTTATGAAGCACTCTATGATGAGGTGTGCCCATACTTTCTTCCTGATTGATATTATTTGCCCATGGCCTCAATTCCATGCCAAGGATAAGATTCCCCATCTGTTTCTCCAGCCCAGATCTTAGTAAGGCAAGCCAATGTCCAAATTGAAATGCATTCTTTCTCTGTTTTTCTAAGTTCCCATTTTTAGTGAGGGACTCCATTGTTCATTGTGCGGGACAGAAACCTTAACTTCTTCCTGTCTTTTCCTTTCTCCCATAAAATAAACCAACAATTCCTATTTATTCTATTTTCTACATAAATTTTAAATTCATGTCATCTCTCTCTCTCCTACTAGTATCACAGATGTGCACAGGTAACCAGGTTTTTAGTGATTGAGGACAAAGAATTGAACCGAACACACAGAGTTTATAGCATTAAGAAAGAGGGAAGATTTATTAAGTGATAGTACACTCCACAGGACATGGGAGTGGGCCAACTCTGAGCAGAGAAGGAACACGTGGGCTGGGGGGATTCCTTTCTTATAGGGCAGAAGCTCCCTGGCTAGTCTTTAGCGGGCTTTTCCAGCACAGGTACAAGGAGTTGGATTTCAAAGCTACTGTGCATGTGTGGTTTCCCATGATATTCTTTATTGGCTACTGGAGAAGGGAGTCCCACAATGTTATTTCATTATAATGATATTATAATGAATCAGGGGTAGTGTGCAGGTGCATTCCATGATTCAGAGTTATCCCAGAAAACAGGAACAACCCGTCTTAGGGGGTCTTTGTCATGTATAGATGTTTTCTACCTCAGCCCTGCGGGTCCTCTGGAGTTTTCTTCCTGACTATCTCCTGCCTCACTAGTATCTCTCCCCCTGCCCTAGTTCAGGAAACCATCAATGTGTATCTGGATAACTCTCTCTGGTCTTGCTTCCTTATCAACCCATCCTCTATATCACTGGTGAGATGTTTCTGATCACTGCATTTCCCAGATCAAAACCCCTCATGCTTGCACAGCCCCCACAGTCTGGCCCAACTTGCCTCTCCAGCCTCAGTTCTTTGGACTCCCCACCTTGCATTGTTCATTTTGGGTCATACTGTGTTTCTTTGAACTTTTCCAGCATACAGTACTTTGTCATCTCTGAGCCACCTCCTCCTTCTCCTCCTTTTTTCTTCTTCTTTTCTGCCTGGAACATTCTTCTTCTTGTCTCCCCCTCTGGTGAATTTTTGCTTTATTTTGGGGCCTGAAATTGAGAGCACTTTCTTATGGATATTCTCCTGAATGTTCTAAACTTGGCAAAGGTGCCTCTCGCACGGCCTCTTCCCCACTGTCCTATCAGGGCAAGAGTCATCCTGTATCATTATCACCTGGGTCTTTGTATTCTCATTAGCTTGTCACTTCTGTGAAGACAGGGGCATGTCTGTTGTGTTGAAATTGTTTCTCCAGTGCCTCACCCAATGATTGATGCAGAGTGGGTGCTCAATAAATATTGAATGAATGAATGAGTCTCAAAGTAAATCACAAACCAGCCTTTTTTATTACACAGGTTCAAAGTACTTTACTCTCATTTGCAATTACTTACTCACTAGTCCAGTTCCCTTAACTGGAACAACCACCACTTTTCCAAGAAGCAAACAGAACTTTGTTGCTGAGAAAGCAACATATATATCCCAAAGGAAGAAAAACTTTCCAGAGGTCCTGAGAATTAGCATATGGTAATTGTCAAATCCCAGGGTGTCTTTTAATAGAACCTTCACAGTGGTTCACTTAGCTTGTACTCAGCGCTTAAATTGAGTAGAACCTCATTAGGGAGGTTGTGTCAAGCATTAGTGAAAATGGAGAGAATGAGATATATACTTTCCATGACATGGAGACATAGGAGAAAGGAGCAATCTGGCCTATGGGTTGTGTAATCTGTGTGTCTGACTCCACCGACTCCTGCAATGTGAAATGATGGGGAGGACTGCCACAGCCATTGACGTTGGTGAGGATTTTCCCTTTAAATCCTGTTCTGGGTTTTGTACTCTCTAGGGATTTATTGCATGCTTCCCACCTTTCTTCTCTCTGTACTTTTTTTATTCAATGCCACCCTCAGGAGCAACCTGGTTTTTATGAGTTTTCTGCCCCAGAAACAACTCTTCTTGAGGGAGAGAATGGACTTGGCCTTGCCAATATGCCCTGGGCTTCTCATTACCTATCACTGGTCATTTGCTTGCTCTGTTCTAGCCACTGTGAAGTCTCCCCTTCTCAGGGCTGCAACTAGGTGAGGCAAGCCAGGCTTCCAGGGACAGAGTTTAAGAAGCCACCCACTCTCGGATGTCAGCCCCCAATTTGCACAAGCCTGAGAGCTTCCCTTGACCCACCCTTGGCCTTCTCCCCTCAGCTGTAATGTCTCCTTGCCTCTCCAGATGCAATCCCCCAGCCCCTGCTCAGGTGCTGCCTCCTCAAGAAAGCTCTTGATAAATCCAACAGGCTTTTCTACAACCAGAAAGCAGTCACCTCACCTTTATCCAGATCCCCAGTGGGCCTTAGTTATACCTCTCTGGAGGTACTTTATATCTTGTTTAGTTCTTAGGCTTGCCTTTGTATCTCTATGTTAAGCAATAGATTTCTTAAGGGCAGTCTTTTTCTCAGCATATTCACATTACCTAGCATGGGGCTTGACATGGTGTAAGCATCCACAAGTCAGGGAGGAGAGTGGAGCCATCAAGAGGAGAAGGGAGCAGAGCATGCAGTTGTTAATTGCACAGAGGTGGGAGGAGGTAGATATGGGTGCTGGGACCAGCCTGCCAGGGTTTGATCTCTGGCTTTGCCACTACTGGGTGTGAGAACTTGGACAGATTACATCACCTGTCTATTTCTTTCTCTTGAAAATGGGATCAATAATGATACCCCAGCGTAGGGCTGTTGTGAAGTGTAAATGAGATGACTCATGTAAAGGATTTAGCACAAGCCTCATTGCACAGTGAGCACCTCACTAAATATCAGGATTCAGAACAGAAAGGGTCTAGTGAAAATACATCCCTGGAAAATGCAGGTGTGCACAGAAGGGCAAAGCATATTTAGGACTGATGTCACAAATAAAGTTAAGTCTAAATCATCAATGATGGGAGACAAGCAATGACCTCATACTCCCTGGAGAACCCAAATGACTACTTTTTTTTGAAAAGACAAATCTCATCTCTACACTTCAATAGAAGAGTAGCTTGGGTGAGAAGATGGTAAGAGAGGCTGCCCAAAAATGAAAACAGAGGAGGGCCAGATGAGCTTGGGGGTGTTAAAATGGATGTTTAAATGTGCCATGTTATCATAGCTGCTGATGCTAAGGAGGATGGAAGCATAATGCTAAGGAAAAGTCATGTTTTTGCTGCCATCTACAGTCAGAGTGCAATTTTTAAAGTTGCTTCACACACACACACACACACACACACACACACACACATCCACCTAGAAAGAACATTCTTGACAAAATGAGTGACGATATACATAGTTTGGTTTACATTGTAGTAATTGAGAAAATTTGGGCATCCTATGATAGTATTTAATTTATTATATATACTTACTATGTATATATTTAACAAGTAATATAGCCTTTTAAAATCTCAAGTTGTGTTAAAACTCATCAGAAGACAAAAATTAGCTGCAGGTGTGGCAGCCAGCAGACAGTTTAAGAGTTAATACATTGATTTCAAAGAATAAAGAGATGAGTTGGATTTTACCCCATGTTTTCCTGACCCATGACCTGTGGTTTCCCTGGTTGTTATTAGAATGGTTATACGTCACATTTTATACAAATGTCTTTTATTGTTTGGATATGAGAGATCAACCAAAGGCAAATGAAAAGCAAAGCAAGTAAAAACAAAATCTGCCATGGCTTTTGCCACCACGCTTTTATCCATATAATCTCCAATATTATGGTGATATTTTCCCAATTTCTCCTTATTATTTTAAAGGGTTAACTATAGACAACAATTGTTGGAAAAGCGTTTGATGGAGAAAAAAGAAGTGGCTCTTCAAGAAGCACTTGAAGAAGAAGAGAGAGAGAGGCGGCTAGAAGCCCTTAGGAGACAGGTGTTTTTAATTTGAAATTTTCATGGTTGGTTTAAAAAAAAACGTTTCTAAGTGCTCTTAATAACATTATTACTAGGGCTTAGTTTAGGAGTTCTGCTGTAAAAAATGTAACGTTTCCAAATTGAGACACTGATTTTCATTCCTGGAAACAATTAGATTTATGTTGAACCATTTCCAATTTCTTAGTATATTAAAAGAACTTTATCCTCACCTTTTAAAAGGCTCTCCCAAGATTTAAATGCATCCACACTACTTCTAGTTTAATAGCTGAGTAATATCCATTTACAGCAGTGAAACACTGCATCTAGCCAAAAGATTTTACTCTTTTCAAGAAACCTGGCAGAGTTTGAGCAAGATAATTTTCTTTGGGGTAGAAATCTGTTTGGAAATAGCCTACAATAAACAAACATGTTAAAAATCAGTTTTTTTTTAATTAACTTACTTTAGTCTTTTTTTTAAGATTTTATTTATTTATTTTGGAGAGATGGGGAAAGGAGGGAGAAAGAGAGGGAGTGAAACATCAATGTGTGGTTGCCTCTTGAACACCCCATACTGGGAATATGGCCTGCAACCCAGGCATGTGCCCTGACTGGGAATCAAACTGGTGATACTTTGGTTCACAGGCCTGCGCTCAATCCACTGAGCTATACCAGCCAGGGCCAAAAAAAATTGCTTTTAAAAATACTATTTTTTCTGGTGAAATAAAAGCCTCCCATTGTTTTACTTAGTAAAAGTAGGCAAAAGTTTTAAAATTAGGCAGTAGATAGCAACATCAGAATCTTAAGAACTTGGGAAATGTGATAAAATAGTTTTATTTGGTAATTTTTCAGAATTTTTAACCTGGAAGTAATGAGCTCAACTACTAAGCTCTGGAGTCTTCACTGACACCACTTCTGTTCAGTGCCAGTGGTAGCAACATAGAATCTTGGAAAAGAAGTTGGCCTCTGGTATCTTTCAAACCGGGTACCACCTGGTTTTGCTACTCACTGGCACAAGAAACGTAGGTGTTTTATTTAACCTTCCTACACTTTATTTCCCCCTCTGAAAAATGGGAATAATAATATTAGTACCTGCCTGATAGGTTCATAGTAATGTCCGTTCCCATTTTTTGAATATTTACTAAGCATAAAGTTCTCTTCTAAACACTGAGGTTTCACCTCATTTAATCTCTAGAAAATCCTGTGCTGTAGGTGTTATTAATATTGCTATTTTATAGTAGAGAAAACTGAGGAGACACAGAGGTTCCCAGGAGTCACACAGCTAGTAAAAGTCAGACTGACTTCAAACCAAGGAAGTCTAGTTAGATGAAGTAGTATAGACACATAGCATCTTCTTTGATAAAATAGTTTAGAGAAATTCAAAGCATAGGGATGTAAGTCCTAGTCATGCTAGATTCAACAAAGTTAAAATTACTCAGTCATTAGTAAATAACTATACACATATACCACAGCTTTCCGGGGACAAAACTTAATGTCATTGATACTGAACGCATTCTTGTTCAAAATACAACTTTGATAACTATGGAGTTCATCTGATTAGAATTCTTTCCATCTATGAACCCCTGGAAAGAGGAAATATCTATGTCCATTATTTGTAATCAATGTTTAGAAAGATGATAGTATAAGATTTTGACTAGGAAAACCTATAACAATTAAAGTATGTTTGACCCCAGTTATGTCATTGTAGTTCTTAAATTCATTAAAAACGCCATTTTCTCCATGACTTTAGAGTTAACAGACAAGTGTTACCAATGGTACATGTAATTTACAAAATTAGTGGCTTTATTTCATAAAGACGCAGGTTTAAATGATTCAGTTATCAGAAAGAACAAGGGCATTTGTGTTAAAGTAACACTGAGGTTTTTCAGCAGAAGTTGAAACACTGGCTTATAACAGTACCTTGAAATCCAGTTACCTGGAACAATGGAAATTCATCTATCTTGCCCTATCATACTACAGCACTCAACTCTGTCCATGAATAGTGTGCTCTAGATTCCATTTAATCAGGTCAAACTTTCTAGAAAATTTCATGAGGTTGTCACCATGGCCATAGATCACTAGTAGTTAAAAATTAATGTTCTTTTTTACTTTTGGTTATTTTCAAGGTGTTTGAATATGTAGGTTTTCTATATAAGTGTTCCTATGACTTTGTATCAGAAAGACAAATTTTTATCTAAACTTAGTCATAACAGTAATTTCAGACATTAGTAACTAATTACATTTCATGGCCTTTTAATATTATATTTTGTTTTAAAATTGTTAACTTCTTTATGGATCTCTAGGATTGGCCTGGTTTAATATTTTTTTTTACCCTTCCCTCTTAGGTTTTCTCTTTAATAAAATTTCTTAATTTTAATGAACTTTAAACATCGATAATATTGACCAGAAGTATTTAGCCTGTTTCTTGTTCCAAGTTGCTATGCTTTCGCTTCTTTTAGGTTGCTATTGTTGCTCAATTTGATCCTGTTAGAATGATGTCAGATACAATGGCATCGAAAGCAAGAATGGGTATTGGAATTGAGGAAGAATTTATTCTTCAAAAGCCACTCTTCACATTGAATACATACAATGAACAGCAGGTAATTATGGGAATTAGCATGATTAATGTAAAAGCCATGGTGATGTTAGGAACTGTAGAAGTGTGCATTTTGGTTATGAGCCATTTTCAATATTTACATTTGAATACTACACATATCAGCATAATTTTTACTTCCAAATGATAGCACATAATTACTGCACAACTCTTGATGTTATAAAATAGTTGACAGGTGAGCATAGAAAAAGCAGTTTATCTGGAAATGTTATGAATCTGTCATTGAAAATTATTTTTCAAATTTAAAAATAATTTTACAAAATTTTACTTTAAACTTGTGTTAATTTGTATTTTATTGGTGAATATTGCTCTGTCATATTCAGAATGTGCTTAAATTTATAACTAACATCATTCGAAGAAAGAACTGATGATGCTGATTACACAAAGCAGAGGGAAGCTTTCAGAAATTAAAATGAACAGAAGATAATATATCAGAGCTAATGATAAAACATTTTCTGTGGAAAAGTATTAAGGGGTTGTTTCACCATTTCTAGAGAGAGGGAGAACAGATGAATGAATATGTATCCCTGAAATTGAGGGAGAAAGTAGTTAATTTTGCAAATCTAAGCAGAGCTGCTTAATGCTTATTTAATTATTTAAACAGCAGGCAACTTTATCCACTCACCCATTGACAAATAAATCAAGTGTGCCTCTAGTATGTGCTGCATACTTTGCTAGGGATTAAAAAGATGAACAAATCATGTATTAATTGGACAAATATTGATGGAACATGTACAGCATCTGGCACTATGCAAGATGCCCTACTGAACAGGATAGACTTGTTCTGTGTGGAACAAGGAACAGGAGCCCTGAGTTGGGAGGGAGAGTAACACATATGGAAATAATGCCACTGGGGTGAGATCACCTCCGTAATGGAGGTGTAAGGGCTGCTGCAGACACAGGGAGAGAATCAAAGGTTAACCCAGATGGGGCAGTCAGAGAAAGAGTCAAAGAGGAATATTAAGCTTTGTCTTAGTTGAAGATTTTTGGCAGCAGAAACAAAATTCATTCTAGATGATTTAAGCTAAAAATGAACAAAAGAAAAAAAACAGCTTAGAGGGAGGGAGTAGGCATAGGATGAGGGATAAACTATGAAGATGCAAGGGTGTTTCCAGAAGCCAAAGTGGGTAGGGCAGCTGGGGCTTGCAAAGAATTGAAGTCAGAATCTGGAAAACTCTCTGGTACCTGGGCTGAAGAAACAAGGGTTTCACCAGTAGAAGAGGGTGAAAAGAGACCCTTAGTGGTGCATCTTCAGTGTAAGATACATGTTGAGGGTGGGTGCTAGGAGTTGACACTGGACACATAGGTTAGGGTCAGGTTGTGAAAAAGTATTATAGTAGGTGCTGCTTGCTAAGACATTTCATCTTTATCCGGTGAGCAGAGGCAAGACTTTGAAGCAAGTGAATTATATAACCAAATTCGTGTTTTAGCAATGTGTCTGGGCAGAAAATTGGTGAGGCTTTGGGGTGGGGGGCTGAAGGTGGGTGTGGGGTCAGATCCTTTCAAGATGGTGGAGCCATTATGGAAATGAGGAGAGGGGTAAGAATGGCTCTTGCTGAAAGGAGAAGAAAGGCGGAAGGAGGGGGTAACGAATGTGCGGATAATTCTAAAACTAGATACCATAGTTTGTTCTGTCCTTTACTGGCTGTGTGAAGTTGTGTAAGCCATTTAACATCTTTCTGTCTTGTTTTCTTCATCTGTAAAACATTAATTTGCAGGGTTCTTGTGAGGATTAAGATAATAAATACATGTCAATTACCCAGCATATTGCCTGGAACCTAATAGTAATTCAGTAAATTATAATCATTAGGTGTTGCTGTCATAAACCATGTAAGTGTATAGAAGGAAAAACAGACTTAGGGAGAGAGATATTTGTTCACATCATCTTTAGTGTGAAAATGGCTTGTACACATTTACAAGAAACTGATTGGCGCCTCTGGGGAGGGGAATTGGGAAGATGGAGATCAGCATGCTAAGTTCTCCATTTCACTTTGTTAATTCAAAAAATAGAATAATGAAAGAGTTTAACAAACCTCACAACCTCAGACCTGAAGAGATAGGTGAATGCTGAAGACAATTAGGGAGTGAACAGCACACAGATGGAGCACGAGTCACCGGAAGTTGATGTGACTGACCAGAGAGGCTGTATGGGAGCAGAAGAGGAGAAACCCAGGTCTAAAGATTGTGTACATTGGCTGTCAGACATATGTCTGTATTATTCTTGACTTACATGCATCACTGCCTCTAGTCCCTGTATCTGGCGAGTTGCTAAATTCTATTAATTTTCCCCTTTACAGTGTTTCTCACAGTTATCTCTTCCTTTTTACTAGCCAAGTTGAGGCATGTTTATCACTTCATGTCTAGACCATTGCAGTAGACCCCTAACCACTCTCCCTGCCTCCATCTCTTCTCTTCTTGCCACCTTAATTTATCCTGAATTGACAATCAGATCCATGTTTTTGTTCAATGGCAGTGATTACATTTCTTGTACTCTAACAACAGAGACAAATACCACTTCAGTAGCTCCCCGGACTCCTTGGCATTGGTATTAAGCCTTTCAAATTCAAGTCCCAGTCTTAGAAGTGTCCTTTTCCAGTGTTCCTAGTGGTGCTTTATCCAGTGTCCCTGATTCCAAATTGACCTGTTTGACCTCTGAGTTTGCATGTGCCATCCTTTCTTTCTCGATCTCTCTTCCTCCCTCCTCCACTTTATAGAAGGATAAATTTGGATGTTAGCTCAGGTGGTCCTCCTTAGCTGAGACCATTCTAGTCTCACTGGCACCAAAAGACATACTATTCTTGGGGTATCTATCCCATGTTACCACAAACTGTAGTTGTCTGTGTAAAATCTTGCTACCCCTATTAAAGAGCTCCTTAAAGGAGGGGCTGCTTTCAACAGCTTATTATCCAATCCTCTAGGGGAACTTCAAATCCTTGTAAAGAATAAAATGCTTCGTTAGCTAAAATCCATATGTGGCTACCTTCTTATCAATGCAAACAGCACTGTTGACATTTACTATTCATAGAAGGAGGAATAAAGTCCAATCAGCTATAAGTGAAAACAGAACTTGAACTACTCATATGTCTAGTCCTACTTAGAATCAGATTGATGGAAGCATTTTTTAGTCCTGCTTGAAATAGAAATCCGGCCTTGGAAGAAAAGTTCTATTGATTTTTTTTTTTTTTAGGTAGTGGCCATGTGTTTAAACTTAATTTACATATCATCAAATGATAGAGAAATTAAAATGTCTGTTTAAAGGCAGATGCATAAGATTTGGTTTAGATTTTATTTTGATCAATGATTATCTATATTTGTATATTCCAGCTGTCAATAAATAATGAATCAATGATAGTACTGAAAATAACCTTCTTTCATCTCATCTTTTAATAATTTTAATGTGTTGTATTTTTGACTAATCTACCATGCAATAATCTATGCATATTATGTTGGAAACCACTGATACAATGGGAATTGACAATGTTAACAAGTTTTGGATGTTTTCAGTAAAAATAACTGGGATGTAGTCATTATATACACAAAAGTTATTATCATCTAGTCATTTATCTAGCAAAAGCAAATTATGCAGCTTGGGGAAATGTAGAACTAAATGATACAATTTACTTAGTTCAGTGAATTGCTATTTACCTTGTATTTTATTCCTACAGATAATTTCTGACCCTAGACTTCGTTTTGAGTTAGCACTTCGAGAAGCTGGACTTCATAAAACCTTTTATGCCAAACAGATATTACCAAAAATCAGTCCTCAAAAACCTCCAAGAAAGGACATGGAGTCTACTGTGTTTAAAATTTAGAGTTCATCTTCAAATCCTATTAAATGTAAACAAAATTTTTCTCTGAATACATTTATATGGATAACAATAATTATTGCTTTGTAAAATTTTTAACTATATCAGACATAGAAATCATAGTATCTGTTATGGTTAGAGCTGTGGAAACTGTATTGACAGACCCAGGGTGAAGCGGTATGGGAAGGCAGAGAGCTGAGTCCTTCATGTTGCTCTAATGCTGAAACTGGGACTGCAGGGGTTGGTTTGTAAAATTATTAAATGTCTCCGTGGCACCAAAAAGAAAAAAAAAGAAATCATAGCATCTATTAAAGCAAACTTGCTTTTAAAAAAAGATTCTTAGAATTTTATTCACTATTTCCAATATCTTTGTTTCTATAATAGTACTAAATTCTTCAAAACAATGGAACTTAATTATGACACATATGATACATATATTAACATTTAGTAAATTGCAATTTGGATGTTGCATTATCCCATGAAAAGAGATCAAAATAACCATTTGTAAAAATTAAAATTTATTTTGCTGCTACCTGCTTACATTTATTTTTGTTTGTTATTTTCAGAATTTAACTTTTAATCATGGAAACTTCATTATCATTAATATTTCTATTATTTCTTGATTATTATAAGAAAAGACTCAACCTTTCTCTAAATTTAGAAGCCAATTTGGTACACTATGTTTATTGTAAACCAAAAATCCAACCAATTTCATTTTGCAAATTAGCCCATAAACATCAATGAGAAATTAGAAATAGCATTGCAAATGTGAGAATATCTATTTTGTCTTCGTAAAAAAATGTACATTGTTGTTTAGAAGGAATATTTTAAAATTTATAATACTTAGAATGTATCAAAAGTTCCACAAAATCTGTTGGGTTGGCCAAAAAGTCTGTATGTTTTTTTCCATAAAATAAAAGAGACATTTTTCATTTTCATCAATAACTTTATGATTTGAATATTTTGAATATGTTGGCTATCTCCCACATGGTATAACATTGATTGTTTTTAATGAACATCTTGATTTGATTGCTATCAACTTCAACTGGTCTACCCAACAACTATGGAGCATTATCATCCACCGAGAAATCTTCAGCACAAAACCTCGCAAACCATTTTTGACACATTCAGTCAGTCGCAGCACCTTCTCCATACACTGCACAGATCTGGTTTTACATTTAAGTGGTGTTTTTACCTTTTTTGGAATAATGAAGTATAATATGCCAAAAATGTTGCATATTTTCTTTCTTCTTCAATATTAAAATAGCCTCACAAAAATTCACCAATTTTGATAAGTTTTTTAAAATGCATACTGATATGACAGCTGTCACAATACAATCTAACAAAATTGTTACAAATGAAGTTAAAGACAACTAAGCATTACTAGAGCCATCTTACAAAAAAAAAAAACTTTTTGGCCAACCCAATGTTAAATATCTAGATGATTTTATAGGAAGGCAATGTTTCAAATAAACTCAAGCATGAGTTTTACTCTTTTTAAAGAACCACACAAAAATAAGCAGCTTGTGGTACCCAGCAGGAGGAAGTGCTGCCACCTTGAAAATCACAGAGTTGGTATTTGTGGATCTGCTGAAAACAGCTGTGATTTGGGAGCAGTGTAGCTGTTGGCTCTCCCCTGACTCAGACCTTATTCATTTTCTTTCTTTTTAAAAACAGTACTAATAATAGTTACCATTTGTTGAGCAGAACTGTGTGTTCAGTGCCGTGTATATAGTTTACATATAATGTCTTATTTGACCATAATAACAACCTTATGAGATTGTTATTTCCTTTTTTTTTCACATAAGGGAACAAGTTCAGAAAGGTAGAATAATTCATTCTAGATCACTTGTTTTTCAACTGTGAATTGTTAAATCAATTCAGTGAATCCTGCCCAGCATTTTTTAAATGAAAGAAAATAAATCTGAAATCCAAATGCTAATAAACATGTGAAAGGATGGAAATACCAATTAAAACCTCAATGAGATACCAATATACAACCACCAGATTGGCAACAATACCAAGAAATGTAACAATATCAATTAATACCATACAGGACAATGGGAGACAACCACTGGTGGTGAGAGTGTGAACTGGAGAAGTTTGAACTTATCTGGTAAAGTTGTAAATGTTCAAATGTTCATACACTCTGATCAAAGCAATATTGCTCTGATTGGAGCAATTCTGTTCCAAAATATATGCATTTGAGAAGCCCCTGCATATGTGTATAAGGAGACACAGACCAGGATTCCCAAATGAAACAAGCCAAATGTCCATCAACAGTAGAATGGATATAAAAATGTGGTATATTCATACATGGAATTGCCTATGGTAATGAAAATGAACATAATATTGAGTAAAAGGACCCAGATGCAAAAGCTTACATACTATGTTATATTTCATCTATCTAGAGTACAAACTAACCTATATTGTTTAAGGATACATACATAGGTAGTGGAACAATAAAGGAAAACAAGAAAATATTTAACACAAAATCAAGGTAATGATTACCTCTCGGGGATAGGGAGGCTGCTGGGGTGGGGGCTTCCAAGTTATGGGGTGTGATTTTATGAGGTTTCTATTCTTTAAAATGTACATATGTGTTTATATACTATTAGGGTAATGCTATAAATTCCCAATAAACTGAAAAAAAAATTAAGAAAGCAAGTTATTAGAAGTCTAATTTCTTAGTATATTAGTGCATCAGAAGTAGTTTTTTAGCCAGTTTCTGGTTAAACATTCCTAATTTACAGGAATTTTTGTGATAGCAATGACAGTCCCTGCCTGGGAGTCATATTCACCCCAACACAGGATAATATCCTTTTTATTTTCTGCTCCCCCAATCCTTGGGCACTGGTTCACTTGGGCTCTTGCCAGTCTAGTTTGTCAGGTGGGCATCAGAAAGAAAACAGTATGTACTGAGAAGAATAAGCACTGTGCCATGAAATTTTATCTCACTTATTTATATGTGTGTACATAGTGGATCACAACAAAAATGTATTTCTTAATGGTTCAAAGAAATTAAAAATTATTACCCTCTATCCCATTGTTAATAAATGGTGCAGTCTGATCAACTTCATGTCTTTGAGGGTGATGGGCTTATCTCAGACTGAATGGAAAGACTGTAATCAGTCCATCTGGTAGGAAGTCAGTTTTGTGCCCACCAGCAAATCTACAAATACATCCAAGTCTGCATTTTCATTTTGCTTCCTCTAGCAATGGGAGCAACTCTCTCTGTCAAACACCAAACCTTTCATATGCATTTTGGGTTTCATCACCTCTCAACTCCATGAGAATTCCTCTTTTTTCCATTAAGCTCTTTCTTACATCTTCCAGATCATGTACCATTTGTTTCTCTGTTCTGTTAATGTGGTGCATTACACAGGTTGATTTTCATATGTTGACTCATCCTTGCATTCAGGAATAAAACCCACTTGTTCATGGTATACAGTGCTTTTACTATGCTGCTGAATTCAGTTTACTAGTCTTTTGTTGAGAATGACATTAACATTTTTGAAGAATATAATTTCATTTTTAAAATAGAAAATTATTTTGGATCTTTGTTTTTATTTCTTAGCTTTAATTTTCCTTAAGGCTTCACCTGTTATGTCTTTCATTCATTTTTTTAATTTAGTCTCATTTCTGAAATGTTTTTCTTTTGTTTGTAATTATTTCCTAAGAATATATTACCTAATTTCTGAGTTTTCCCAATTATGATTAATATTCTCTCATATCTTGTATCATTTTGATTTTTTTAACTTTTAGCTTATAATTTTAATCTATGTTGTGGTAATGTCTCTCTCGTGTTTATTCCTTATCTATAGGGATGTTACTATGCTTCTTAATCTGTCTTTTTTATATTAATATTTAGATTTGACCCTTTTCTTTGCTCATTCATACTTGAAATTAACTTGCTTGAAATGAACTTTTAGAAGTATTTTGTGGCTTAAGAAGAACTATTCAGATTTTACTGAAAACTCTTTGTATTCATTCATTATTAGAAAGTAAAACTCTCAGTTTCAGCTGAAATAGTTTCCTGTAAGTGTTTCTGGGTTCCTTTAGAGTTCTCAGATCCATCTTATGCCCCTTGCTTTCCTCTGTCCTGCAATGATGTTGGTATAATCAGGTCTTATAGCTGTCAGTGGTTACTCCACCCATTCATAGTTGTTAGTGTATGGGAATACTTTGTCACCTACCGCTGAAGATCATCCCATGGGTTTTCAGTGGTGGTGTCCTGGTGGTTGTTGTTTCCTTTTATAGGCTGATACAAGGAGGCTCAAAAAGTATCACTTCTGTCATCTTTCCAGAAACCCTCCAAACTGAATCTGGGTCCTAACTGCCTTTTTTTTTTAACTAAACGTGCTTTTCCCTCAAGCCAATCTCAGTAATGGAGCAAGCCATCATCCACCTGTTATGCAACCTGAAATCTAGGAGTCACTCATTATGTACCCCTCTTTCTCACTTGTAACATCTTACCAAGATCTGTTGGCTTTCTGTCCTCTACACTGGAACCGTACTGCCAGTGGAGAATGGTTGTGCTTTGTGGCTTCTCAGCCATAGCATTCTCATCTTTGGAGAATTCCCCACATTATGCATCCATCTCCCACATTAGAAGCTAGATACTCAATTTCCCTAGTCTCTTGTGGTATATTCTCTGCTAATCAAGTGTACCCATTTGAGAATTTATTCATAAGAGTGGTATGTGAGAAGACAAGAATCCATTTTATGGCAAGGGTGGCAGTGCAAGCTTCAGCTTTAGAGGGTAAAAGTTGCATGGCTTTTAGTATCGAGCACTCAGGGTTGTGATGCAAGCAGAGGTGCCTGGGACTAGCAGAGCAGCAGAGTGTCTTTAGTGCAGCAGTCTCCTGGCCACAGTTGAACATTTCCCCATTTGGATGCCTGAAACATGAACACTCTGCACCTCCCAGAGATTCTAAGAACTACCTAACATCCTTCAATAAGTTACTTTGCTTTGTAAACTAGCTTAAGTGGGTTTTGTTGTTCGCTACTGTGGATAGAATGGTACACTAGCCTTTCTTCAGTTCCTTGAATGTACAAACCAGTCTCATGCCCTCTATATATAATCTCTCTGTCTCTGTAATCTGCCTTCTCAATGGTCATTTTCCCTCTCTTCAGAAAGTAGGAAGAA